TGGTTGCAGATGAAGTAGGAAGGCACAGACTCTAAAGTCAGAGAAGGGGAAAGTATGTGACCAAACAGCCTTTGAAGTCGCTCTGAGGAGGCTGCTTACATTCTGCTCCCTCATTCATATGATTAGCAGAGGTATACATGGTAGCTGGGTACTTAAATGGTTTTGGACTCCTCTACCAGCTGGAAAGGGCTGAATGCAGAGCTCTGAAGTTAGTGGCGGGGGTAGAGGCATGCCGTGAGATGGCAGGGGTGGCAGACAGTGATGGCTAAGGGGCTGTGCGTAAAAAGGTCAAAAGGAATAGAGAGTGCCCAGAATATGGGACGGCAGAGAGAGATTTAAATATCATGGAGGGGGAGGAATTATTTACAGTTCCATGGAGGATTCAGCCAGCATCCTTCAACTGCAATCCATAAATGAGGCGGACTAGGAGGAAATTCTTCCAGAGCTGACGTGTTAAGCTACAGAATTGTTGTCCTGTGAGAACAGATAAAAACGTTGTTTAGGTCGTTACAGGTTCTGTAAGCCCTTGGAAAGCGTGCAGCTTTCGTTCTGTGCTGCTCAGTGAGACAGATCTCTCTTCCAAGTCCTCTGCCCCTGACTGTGGCTTGGTGGGAAGCACAGCCCTTCCCTGCACTGCACGGTGAGATGCTCTCTGACTCTGATCAGTTTGGTGCATTTGAGATTAGTTATTGGCAAATACTTGCTGAAGAGGAGCAAGGTAAAATAACGGAGCTGCTCTTCCCTTCTGGAGAGGAGTTTTCATTAAAGAAAAGAGGGTGAATGCATTTTCCTGGCAGTTGTTTCTGGAGATACTTAAAAAGAGCTCCTCTGAGCTGGAGAGAAGTGGTGAAGCTCTTGTTTGGAGGAATGCAGACAGCCACTGCTGGCACAGGCGCCACCCTGGGACCTTTGCTGTTGAATCTATATGGAGTGGGGAGATAAACTCTTTGATGGTGGGATTGCGCGCCAGTGTGTGAGCAGTATTGTGTGAGCTGGTGTTTGGCTCAAGCGAATATGTTGTTGAGAGACATGAAAGGTTTTACAATAGAGTCAAGTGAGCAACTAAACCATTTAAGTGCTAGGCTCTGATTAAATGGAGAGAGATTTGCAGTAGAAGAATGGGTATCTAGAAGCAGGTGCAAAATGTGTTTTCGTGCTATCTGTGGGTAGTGCTGGATGTTGTGATGACAAACAGGATGTAAGTTTTCAGCAAACAGGCTGATTCTCAACCAGTCTTCTGCTTCAGCAATCTGTATTTACATTATCTAGACCCTCCACCTTGAGGATTCGGAGGAACTTGTACGAGGGAGCATTAGCCTTGGTCTTACAACTGAAGGAGGAGCTCAAGAGCAGGGGAGGAGAGCGCTGGGAGATGGCAGGTAGTCAGCTGTCTGGTGGTGGGCAAAGGCGCCGTTTGAGAACATGCTGTGGCGGGGGTGGATGTCTGCAGAGTACAATGCTTGCTGCAGTGGCCGGTAGCAGTCGGATGTTTCTGCTCTGCCCTACACTGAGCTGTATCTGTTTGCTCATCAAGAGCAGTAACTTGCTGCCTTTTTCCTGCCTAACAATTTCTCGTTTGATTTCTAGGTTGTTTTCCTCCACCTCCCTGAGACCCCTTTTTCTCCTCAGCATGTCCCTTCTTGGCATCCTTTTGCTGGAGCGGTGGAAGCCCAGGTTCCTGTTTGATTTCTCAGGTATGTGATGAGTAGCACTGTAGCTAGTGACACAGTTCTAGTGTTACCAGCTGCTGGACTATGGCCACAGCCGGTCCCTTCCTGGCTCTCTCTGAGGTCATGTAAGCCCTGTTCCTGCTGTAACTGCAGGCTTTGGTGCTGCCTCTTGCCTATTTGTGTCAGAGTATTAGGATGTATCCTTATACTCTGGGCATGGGGAGAACTGCTCCCGGTGATGAGAAGTTCTGGGAGTAGCTCATTTTGAGAGTGACTAAGGGAGCCCAGCTAGCTTGTCAGGGAAACTGGTGATGGGGATGATGCAGTGCTTCTGCTGTGTCCTTTCTCTCCTGCAAACATCGTGGTGAAAAGATCATTCCAGGTCTAAGCATATACAGCCAGCTGAGCTGGGGGAAGGAAATGGCGGGTTGAAGTGTATTGGTTTTAGTTAAGTGCAGCGTGGGCTTATGCCCTGAAAGAGGCAGAGCAGATGAGAGCCACTTCTCCTTGCGGCAGGTAGCAGAGTGGATGATGAGGTCTGACAGCAGGGACAGTTAGTGTATTGTACCTGTACTGAACAGCATCTGATCCTCCAGCTAATCGGTGAGTCTGATCACTTGGCTTATCTTTCCTATATATTGAAGGGCCTTTGCCAACATTAGACACAAGCAACAAGAGGAATAGCCTCATAATGATGATAGGCGTGGATGGGCTGCTGTCTACTTTGAGTGCCTCCTTCATTGGAGTTTATTAAATGGCTGGACCCAGACCTGCCTACTGCATCTACTGCTGCTGTTCAAAGGCAGCTCGGGGCCCTCCATCCCTGCCCCCCCTACTCTAGGGAGGGTTTCGGAATGAAAGCCCCTCTATATGTGTGTTTGTAAGGTGCCCTTTATTTGACCTAAAAGGGTACTGACTTAAAGGGTGCTTTCACAGAAGTCCTGATAAGATTAGATATGTTTCAGCTGTAGTCTTGAAACTGTTTGCTTTGTGTGGTTCAGGTAACTAGGCAGCCAAACTGGACTGGCCAATTTAATTTCCTGCTTATTCGCATTGTTTTTTTAAGGGAATAGTTTAAAGCCAACCCAAAACATCTCACTTGAAACATGTCCAGAAATGCAAAAGCGTGGTGTCCAGTACAGAACGGTGTCATTGACACAGGTGGGGGTAGAATCACTCCAGCAAGTACCAGGAGAAGTTATCACAGAAGAAATAGGAAATCCATACTGAAATCAATTGATATGATGCAGAGCAGTGAGGAATTAAAAAAAAAAAAAACAAAACCACCCACCCAAACCCAAAACAACACACTAGGGGTTAGGCTAATCCTGTGTCATCAGCTCTGCAAGAAGTCAGTGCACATCCTACTGAGCCACTCCTCAGTGGTGTTCTTCCCCATATTTCACTCCTTGCTGCTTTTCTGCTGCTGACAGCAAAGAACAGGGACACCTTTCTGATATGCCTGGTTAGGTCACAGCCCTGATTTTGACATGGTCCACTGGACTGTGTTTCCTCAGCCTCTGCAAGGAAGGAGTGGTGCTCTGCGTTCCTGAGGGGCCTCCTGTTGAACTGGCACTGCTGAATACTTAGGGGTTCTTGTGTGGCTCTCGCTTCCCACTGAAGCAGAGCTGCAGCTTTGTGGCTTTCCTCCTCACTGCTTCCTGTAAGCCTTTCCTGGAGATTTTGGAAGTAGGTCAGTACCACACCTTCAAGAGTTGACACGTATATACACAAACCTCAGCTTGTGGCAGTCTGTATGTCTTGGGTGACTGCTTATAACATCACTTCTGAAGGAATGCTAAAACCTCAGCATGTGTTTTGCAGTTACTCACACACTGTGATCAGAGACATGCTAACAGCAGTAAGATGCACAACCTTTTTAGGTCCTGTCAGAAGGGACTGCATATTTTCAGCTCCCACGCAGGGTATTTTTTCCATATGTAACCACCCCTACATGGGGTTCTGATTAAATATCATTTAAGGAAGCACCTCCACTTTCTCCTGAAATGGGTATCAAGTAGGGATGTTTTCTGTACCATTATTTGGCAACTGTGTTTTGGTCAGTGTAGGAGAGTGTAGTGTGGAAGAGCTTTAGCAAAGCCTGCATTGCAACTGAATGCTGGTACTCCTTAAAAAGGGCCCCTGCTTTCTAGCTAAAGTTTACACACAGATGAAGAACGCCTCTTGGGGAAGCGTTGAAAACCTGTAAGAGCCAAGGAATCCATCAGCGATAATTTGTCAGTACCAACATGTAACCTAAACTCTTGTGCGGCTGACTGGCCTCCCAGAAGAGTCTGGTGTACGTCAAGTGGTTTGTATTAATCCACAATCCGGTGTGAAATGCTGACAGCAAGATTTCAGCCAGTTATTGATGATCTGAGGCCAGCTGTGGGTGTCTTGCTTGCTGGCTTAGTTGTACCAGCGCTAGACAGTATTGCAGCACAGGTTGGAGGTAAGCTTTACCTAAGTGAGTGTGTCCTGTCAGAAATGCTGTAGTTTTTTTGTGGTTGGGCTGTTCCTCCAACTGATGTAAGACTCCAGTGCTTTGGGATGAACAGCAGGCAGACTACTCTACTACAGGAAGCCAGATACTGTTGATTTGAAAGGCAGCTTGTGTTTTGCCAGATCGTTGAAATCACGTGAACACTCTGCAGCCTGCTGAAATGTTCTGCAGCTCCCCAAAGTGTCTCTGAAACCTTCAGAAGCGACTGAGGAGAATTGTTTCACTCCCTCTGCTGGCATATTTTGGATGGCTTGGATTACTGCAGCCAGTCGGAGAGGAGTGGGGTTCCTGTGCCGTCCTGCTTACTGTGTCGCTGGCACGTCTGTCCAGCAGAGTACAGCAAGCATCCCAGCACCTCGTTTGGTAGCTGGTACAAACAGTATAGCCAGCCGTCACAGACAGGCTGGTGCCAAATGTGATTTATTTGGTGATTTAGTGCAGGTAATAGATGAGGCTTTGAGATACAGCTGGATTTCTGTGTGCTGTGATTAAGCAGCTTTAGGTTCCTGAGCACAATAACAAAATACAGCAACAGCAGTTGCGTGAGAGAAGCAACCGTCCCATGGGGGTGGAGCTGCATCTATAATACTCACTTTGCGCCCGGAGCTGCCTTTGTGAGCAGTGCTCGCCAGCTGCCCCAGCCGCCGTGCCGAACGGTCGTGGGCAGAGGAGCGGATGGGCAGCCCGGTCTGAGAGCAGTTGACTCCTCTTGTCAGGCCTGATTACTGGAAATCTGGGTCACGCTCTCAAAGAATGGCCTCCTCCCCTGAGCGGATGGCCTCCCGCTCCGCTGCACTGTGCAAGCTGGCTGGTGGAGTGCCTGCAGCGGTAGGAGGAGTCTGTGACATACTTGGCCCAAGGTGCTGTGTCTTGGGAGAACAGTGGCAAGGCTGCTACAAGCAGTTGCTCTCTTCTGCGGCTTGAACTGGAGTCTGAAATCTCACTGGGTGTTGGCAGCGACGGATGTTCACCTCTTCTGTGCGTTTCCCTGGGGGTGTCGTTGCTGCTCTTAGGCTTTGCATCTGGCTGATGGCTCCAGGGAAGATTGAAACCCCTTTTTGCTCATGTGGCATTTTTAAGCCCGTTCCCAACAAGTAGCCTGGGCTTTGAACATAAACTCCCTTCCATTATTTTAGTCCTGTTTACGTGGTGACGTACAGTGTGGGGGGATAGGGTCCCACTGATTTTTAGAACTTCTTGGATGGCCTGAACCAAGTTTGCTGTTGGCCAGACAGCATCAAAGATGTATCTGTCCCTACCAGCTTTAGGACATTAGGCTGACAGGTAGAGGAGGGTAGACCTCAAGGGGCCTTTACAGCATGATCAGGGCGTGTTAAACAGGGGAGACTTATAAAAACTATGTTGCTGCAAGAGCTTTGGTTGAACCCTGTACATCCTCAGACACTAGTCAGCTAGCCAGGACAACCCAAATCCATGGGCAGCCAGGCTCATGAGTTCCAGTCGTCATAGAAATATTAGGGGTTTTTTTCTCTATGTATCTAAAGGCAGAGCATAATCATATGTGACCTCTGCCATTGAAACACTGCTCCTCCCTTCAGTACCGCATGGAGTAAGTCCCTGTTTGATCATTACTGGGTTGGGTGCAGAGAGGAATGGGAGAAGCTTTCCCTTGCTCTTAGCCAGACTGCCAGATCTTAAGAGTGTAGTTATATCTGTGCCTGGCACAAAGGGCAGTTGGGACATAAGAGAGCCCTAAAATTAGATAATTATACACAAGACTGCTATTTGTTACTTAATTCCGTGGGAAAGGATAGAGAGAGCAGAGAGATCTCTGGCATTTGTACGCAGCATCCTGCCAAGGACTGTGGTCTGGGCTGGTCAGTGTGAAATGCAGCTCAGACCCACTAGTGCCATGTTGAGCTCTGAGATGGGAGCTGAAGCTTTGCCCAGCTCGGGGCAAGCTGTACAGTCTCTGCAGCGGAGAGCCCGTGTGCTAGCGGCACAGTGCACCTTGGATACACGTGTTGTGCTATGTGTTTGTCAACACAGGTTGCAAGGTGTGCTGGGGCATGCCGAGACTGAGACCATGTCTGCTCCGAGTCTCCAGGCATGCTTCACTGAAGCCTGCACAGCTCAAACTCCAAGCCAGTGATTCCTGCTTGCATTAGAGCATGAAGAAGGTCCCCACGGTGCATCCTTAGCTAAGGATGATGCATCTCCAGCTCTGCTCTGTTCAAGTGGTAAAAATGTCAGGTTGTATTTTTCACTTGACTGACTAATCTGGTGTGTTCTCTCTACAGCACAGCCATCGGAGGAGCTGGGAGGGGAGAGGTAAGCTCACTGATGTGTTCCTTGGTCAGAGGGGAGAGTGGGCAAGCCTTAATTTAGTGTGGTGATCTCACCTGCCCTTTTTGCTGTTGTTGATAGACTGCATGGCTCCTGCTGTGAAACGTTGGTAGCGGTTTCTCCTGCACTGGGAGCTGCTTATCAGCTCAGGAGCCACAGTTTGATACTCTGGGGAAAGCTAATGTTCTTTCAGTAGCAATAAAGCTCAAGTGCTTCTGATGTTAGGAACTCTCGAGTTTCTTCCCTGGATCTATTCCGGACTATTTTAAGAATCCTCCAGAGAGAAGGAAATCCCTAAGACTTGAGTTTTGCAGGTCACACGTGCTGTCTGTGGTGGCGTAGCTTGCATCCCGTGCTTGGCCATCATTACAGGTCTGAGCACCATATTCTGGCTACCTCAGACTTGGTGCCAGAGGAGGCCATGTGACTAGTTGCACCTCCAGCACTTTCTGTCTGCATGGCTTTGAGTAAACAGCTTTGCATCTTGGGGCTGTGGCATGGCATCTGCTGCTGCTGCTTGGCTCAGGTGTCTCTTGGCTCTCTTCCTGATGAAAAGAAAAAAGTATCTCCAAATGGAGTGTCTTGCATAGTTCACTTGAAGATGCAGTCAGTATTATCAAGCCTTTGGTAGGGATCTCCGCTTCCCAGTGCAGCTGTTCCCTCCCCGCCACAGAACAGACCGTGTTCAAAGATTGTCTTCTTGCTCTTGTCTGTCTCTAGTGAGGGGGTGACTTCAGGGGCACAACCTCACCTGCTCAGTGTCCCTGAACTGTGCCACTGTCTGGCAGAGAGCTGGGTCACCTTCAGGCTGTACCTGCAGGAACTGCTACAGTACAAGAGGCAAAATCCTGCCAAGGTAAGCTGGAGATACCTACTCTTCTGTGCAGGGGCTTTCTTTCCATTACTAGTGGCCTAGGAGGTGGAATAATGTCAAATGAATATTTCTACATTTACTATCCCTGTTTAACATTTGCTGCGTATTCCTTTCAGACTTTGTGCCATGGGAAGCTTAAATAATGTGTAATTTGCTTCCAGTATTTGTAAACTGGAGCTGAACTTAACCTCTTCTGTGAATGGCTAGCTATACTTAGTTTTATTTCTTAGTGTGCAAAGGAAGCTCTTAGTTTGAGAGTGGGGAGAAAAAAGGGGAGCCTACAGTCTCTGCCCCTTTCACAGGGTCCATTCAACCCTTTAAGCTAGTCGTACCTATTTTGCTAGCCAAGATTGTGGCTAGCCGAGTCCAAATGCAGCAGTGTTTCTGAGTGCATGGAAACTTGTTGTAAACCATGTTCTGATGGCTGTGACGTGTGTTGTTTGGAAAGGGTTTGTAGACAGGAGTTGCCTCAGCATCACAAACAGTAGGCCAGCCCAGCAAGTAGGGTTGTATCAGGCTTGCTGGGCTCCAGTGTGCCAAAAGGAGTGGGTTTCTATCACTGCTGATGACTCCTCTTCTGTTAAAACACTGTCCAAACTACAGGGAGCAAGAGACCAGGACCAAGATGCCCATGAAGTGTGAATTCCTTGGGAGCAAAGCCCTCTAGAGGGCCCTAGCTTTTGTAGACCCTTTTGATTATGAATGAAACTCTTCATTGCTGGATTTAGTCAATACTTGAACCCATGACCTGGCTTGCAGGGTGTCTCTTCTCACTTCTCCCCTTCCCCAGGAGAATGCAGGACAAGCCCTCAGGGCTGCACCGTTATACTTCCACTTTTTCCAGAGGCGAAAGGTCCTGCTCTGGTGGGAGCGTGGGTTCTGGTGATGCTTCTGCCAGCTGGTTTATTGCGTAGCAGTGGCACAGCATCTGGTGACTCTGTAACAGCTTCCTGTCTCTGTCGGGACAGTGCAGACTTCTCTTAAAGTGCTGAGCTCTGCAGGGGAGATGCACTCTAAAATGGCAATTTGCAATATCCCATCCTAGCCTCAGGGAACATCATTTTACTTCATAAAGAACCATCCAATAAAGTTTTGATCCATTTTATTGGGGTCTTGGGTTACCTTGGTCTCCCTGTGCTTGAACCTCTAATGCTTACAGCTTAACCCATCCAAGCTGTCTGAATTGTGACTGTCAGCATCTGAATGTACTCAGTGCAAAGCTGGTGTACTGACTTTGTTAGGAGCATCCCTCATTTTGCTCTAACTGGGTTTCCTGCACTGGTTGCATAGATGTATCTCTGCCTCTTGTCACTTCTGTTTGTTCCTCTCTCTTCCTTCAGTTCTGCATGAGTGTCTGTTCAGGCTGCCTGATTCTGGCTGTAGTTGGACACTATGTTCCAGGCATAATGATCTCCTACATCATTTGTGAGTATAAGCAGCTCTCTTTTCTGACTTAAGCTGAAACATGACCTAACTGTGCTATTGATATGCTGGTAGAAGCATATTTGTGGTTTTCTTGAGGGGATCTGTGCTAGATTATTAATCAATACAGGCATTGTGCTCCGGTAAGTCTCTCACCTTAAGTGCGTCCATGCAGTACAACTGCAAAGTCAGGAGAGGGAGCCGTCGCTAAACATTGCTTTACTCTTCTACCCACGGCTGGGGCTGTGCTGGCGAGGTCCCAGAGAAGCAGAAACCTGCAGTCTCTCACTTCCTAGAGTGGGCAAATCCATATCGAGAGAGTCGTTAAAGAAGCTGCATGTTTAGCAAATCAGACCTTTTTCACTGCATGGTGAGTCCCTGCTAAGTCTGAAGACTGTTCAGGTGGTGTGATGCTAGCACATCTACATATGAGCTCTATGCTGCTACCCTTATAAAAGTTTTGGCGATTTTTAGGTTTAATAACCTCATTTCAGGGCCTCTGTTGCATGTTGGGGCTGGGATGCAGTGGCTGAACAGGAGGGCTTACGCTTCATCTTAACATAAATCTGTATTCTAACAAAGATCTGTTACGAAAACCTGGTTAATCAAGCAGCTTTGGAATGAGTAAGACTAGCCATGGATGAGGATTTTAGGCAGGGTCAGGTGGGAAAGCAAATGCCATTCAGCTGCGCTTCCCTTGATACAGAGTTTCTTGCCGGTGCCCTGTAAAGGGCTGGGTTGTGCTTGGTCTGCCTCTCACACTCCGTGCATCCTGTGTTCGCAGTGCTCAGCATTCTGCTTTGGCCTCTGGTGGTCTACCACGAGCTGATCCAGAGGATGTACACGCGTTTGGAGCCTGTCCTGATGAAACTGGACTACAGTATGAAGGCAGAGACGCTGCACCACAAGCATGAGAAGAAGAGTAAGGACCCAACTTCGCTCTGACTTTTTCTGGTGCCATACTCCCAGGGTGGAGCCCAAGCAAAGGGACAACGGGAGAGCACGTCTGCCAACACTGTGTGGTGACAGGCTGCAGTGGAGCAGGGAAAAACAGACTGAAACTTCAAGGTTATGGGGAGGGCAAGTGGGCAGTTGATCCTGGGAATAGCAAATGAGAGCAACAGATTACAATTGTCTCTGGAAACCTTGGGCTTCTGGGAAACCTGTGCAGTTTCACAGGCTAGAAGTAGTGGGGAAGTAGTGTATCAAGGCATAAAATTCCTTCAGTCTCACATAAAGCCTTCTCTTTCTCATAGAGCGACAAGGGAAGAGTGAGCCTGCAGCAGGTGATGAGCCAACAGCAGAGACGGAGAGTGAGAGTGAGGCAGAGCTGTCGGGCTTCTCCCCAGTGGTAAGAGCACAAAGAGCTGTGCAGGAACCAGTCCCTCCTCTCTGGTCTGTAGCAGCTTGAGAGCCAAGGGGTGGTCTGAGTACAGCTGCATTGATAACAAACAGCAGAGCAACAAGTCACTTCTTTGCGGAATCCCAAGGGGAGAAGGGTATTAATTTGATGAAGCCCATTGTCTCCAATCTGGGTATTGACAGTTCAGCACCACAGGGCTGGTGATGCAGTAGCAGGACAGGGCGAGCCATGCTCCAGCCTCCTGCTGACCTGCGGAATTGCTTTGATGGTTACACTTCGTGCTCAGAGAATGTGAGTGTCTCCTAAAGAAATCAACTGTCCTGGTGTAATGTGCAGAGGCTCCCCACCACTGGAAAAGGGAGATGAGCAGCACTGGTGCCTCTTACACAGTTCCCTGCTCTCAGTCAGACTGGGTGGGACCTTTCTGTATGTGCACCACAGAAACGGACCAAGTGTCTTCCTTTACAGGAGCACTGGGCATGTAGCTGGGCTGTGAGATGGGAAGCTTCAGCTTCCAAAGGAATGCTGATACTTGAACCACTGCTACTTGTAGAAGGCTTCACTGGGCCCTGCGTGACTGCAAAAGGGAAGGGGTGTTTTGCTCCTTGGTGATCCCAGGAGAGAAAGAAGGATCAAAGCCTTCTGAGACTCCTACAGGCTGATCCCATCTTGTGCTGGCTCTTTCGGGTTCTTCGCTGAGGGCAGGCAAAGCTTCAGGCAGTGCATTATTGCAGGAAGGCCAGTGAGTGTTCTTCCCTGGCAGTGCAATGAGCACTTTGCCCAGCCCCCTCCTGCTTTCACAGTGTCCCTGTGCAGAGTCTCTCCAGCAAAGGACTCCTGCCTGGAAGTTCTGGTTTGTGTGGAGGTGCCTGTAGGCAGCACTGGTAGTCAGACACCCAGGAATTTGTCCCTCTGCCTTCCTCCCATGCAGGTGGATGTGAAAAAGACTGCCTTGGCACTGTCAATCACAGATTCTGAGCTCTCTGATGAGGAGGCTTCCATCCTGGAGAGTGGGGGCTTTTCTGTCTCAAGGGCTACCACCCCACAGCTGACAGACGTTTCTGAAGGTATGTGATGGGACGCTTCGCTGCCTTCCTGACCCCAAGTGTTTTGTCTGAGAAAAGCTGTCCCTCCAAACACAGGGAGAGAACCTAGCTATTTGCAAGGGGAAGAGCATTAAAAGGAGGAAGCAGTAATAGCAGCACAGCATGCCCTGGCTTTGTGGCTGATTGTGAGCTGGTCCTGAGTGGACATCTGCCTCCGATTACTGCCCCACAAGACGATGTTTTCTTGTCACTCCAGCAAGGGAGCAAGGCCATCCACAAAATCCCACAGAAATAATTGCATGGTATGGTCACACGCCTATATATGATGCTGGGTGGAACAGGTTGGACACCCCACCCTGTCAGACGTACAAGCTCAGAGAAGGACTTGTTAGTGGTGAGGAATGTGAAGGTAACCACTCGGATGTGGTCACTTGAGTGTCCGTCAAGGAACAGGCAGGTGACTTGCTGTAAGCACAATTTCCCTGACCCTGTGGGTTTTAGTGGAGGGCTCCAGATGCAGAGAGCGTGAACTGGAGAAGGAAGTCCTCTCTGAGCACAGAGCACATAGAAACAGGATGAGAAAAGGGATACTCCATGTGAGTCCTGTCACTGGGAGAAGGGAATACCTGCAGACCCCTTCCTGCTGTGCTGCCAGAGCTGGGAGGATGCCTAAAAGTGAGCCCTGGTGTGTCAGCTGTGGGCTGGTGGGCGGGAGGTGTCAGTGCCCTGGGTTAAGGTGGGGAGACCTGCGCCTTAATGCTGGTGCCTTTCAGACCTGGATCAGCAAAGCCTGCACAGCGAGCCAGAGGAGTCATTTTCCAAGGACCTGGCAGAGTTTCCCTCCGTGGAAGAATATCATTCCAGAGACCTGGGACCACAGAGTGATGAAGATGCATTTGGTGTGCCTCTGGGTCCTGAGCTTGCCCACGCTGCCCGTGAGCTGGACTCGGCAGAGGAGGCGGCCGCGGACTCTGACCTTTCCATCCTTCGCCTAGCGTCTCCTCTCCATTTTGTAAATACGCACTTCAATGGGAGCGGGCAAGCGGCCGGAGGCAGCGCAGAGCCAAAGACTGTCCCTGCCCCGGGCCTGGGCATCTGCATTGACACGCTGAGCGAGGAGATCGTCACCACTGCCATTACCACGGCAGTGCAGAACACCCTCTCTGCCCTGCTGCGGTCCTCGGAGGCCAGCGAGGGGCCCTCCCTCTCCGAGTTCCTGCCCACCGAGCCCGAAGAGAAACTGAGCTTCCAAGCACAGCTGTCAGAGACCGAAGTGGTGGAGACGGAGACAGCAGCTTCACCGGAGGATGAGGAGGAAGCAGATGACTTTGAGCTACTGGATCAGGGGGAGCTGGAGCAAATGGATGTAGAGCTGGGGCTTGGAGAGGAGCAGGAGGCACAGGAGTCTCCTGCCGCTCCGGCTCCCCCGTCTCCCACACTTGCTGAGCTGCCAAAGCAAGGAGATGAGGAGGAGGCAGTGATGACAGCAGCGTCTATGTCTTAGGTCTTCTTCATGCACCCCCTTTTCCTCCATTGTCACTGGAAAGAAGGAAGAACTCACACCGTGAACGTGCAGTGGGTTTTTAGATGTTTGTGTTGACTGGGATGGAAATGCGTCAGTGTTAATGTGCTGTGTCTGGAATAACGAATCCCTTCCATCCTTCTAGAGCCCGGCCTTCACTGGCTGAGCGGGAGACGCCCCTGCCCTGCAGCTGGGGAGGAGCCGGCTCCTAGAAGCCTTATGCCACAATCGAAACACCAACCCCAGCAAACGCTTCCTAGTAATGGTGCAGTATTTTGGTCTGTCTTCTGTTTGTCTTTCGTTTTGCACGCAGAGTACTGAGCTAGCTGTAGCTGCTGCTAATACCCACATCCCCAGTAGGACATATGCAATCTTATTTTATTGGGTTTTTAAATGGCTAAAAGTGTAAATAATTTTAACTTTCATTGGTTTCGTTTGGGGGGAGGGATGGGGTGCACAGTCAAACCTGGCTCGCGGGGGCTAGGGGAGGGTAAGGGGTCTTCGGAGGGGAGGGGAGGAGTACGGGGACAAAAGCAGACTGGCGCTGTGCAGTGAAGAGACCCCTTCTGCGAACCGCTACCACCTTTCACGTCACTGCTGGAACAGGGTTTTGGGTGATACGTGGGTTTTTTTTTTTTTTTTCCCTGTCTGATTCAAGTTCTGCTACTGGGTGGCTGTGGAGTTTTTTGCGATCAATGAAATTCGCTCCTGGCCCTGTTCAGTACTCCAGTTTCTTCCTGCCGTGGCTT